GACATATTTTTGATGTTAGATTATGCTACCTACTGGAGTATTAGTTCCTAGATGGCAAGGATTTTCTCTGTTTTGTTTGGTTTCCAAACTTTTTTTTCAGTTTTGCTCAGTCTCCAAAGCCTAGAACAATGCCTGGCATATAGTAAGCACTCAGTTTTTTATTGAATGAATGAGTGGGATGCTTTTACATTTTTTCTGATCCTATGTTCCTCAGAAGTGTTTTTGAAGTTTTCTTCACATACATCTTGTAGGTTTTTCATTAAATTTTTTTTCATGTTTTATTTTTTTGCTTATTGTCAACGGGTTTTTTTTCCCTCTGTGATAACTTCTAACTGGCTATTTGCTTATACAAAGGATATGGTTTTCGGCATATTAATTTTGTAACCAATTTTCTTATTTGCAAGAACTTCTCAAAATTCTCTTGTTTTCACCAGGCATCATTGTTACTTTTCTTAAAACTTTCTGGAGTTTAGCAATTAAGAGTATTGAATTATAAATCCAAGGAAAAACAGCAAACAACTAAATCCTACACTGGCAGTGTGGTTCTCGTTGGTTATGTTGAGTGAGTACTCCTACAGAAGTAAACCTGCAATTTCTTTGCTAAGATCACTAAATCTGGTGATTAAGGAAGATGCCAAGTCCAGAACCGTCTCACTCCTTGCCAGCTGAGCATCATCTATTCCCTGTGCTGCTTACTAAATTGGGGATACTACTGTCTTTGCTACATTCTTCTTAATTCGGGGAGGGATGTTTGCAGTTTAAATCATGAAGAAATTGTCACGATGTATTGACTTGTCCAAGTTCCAGTGTTTCACTGCAGAGTGTTGTTAAGTAATCTTTGATAAATAAGTGAACTCATGCAAATGAATGCATCGTTCATCATTTCTCTTTACTATTACGTCATTATGCAAACATTAAACACCAAAAGATACATAAAATGATTGGTTCATCTAATGCAGAGTGCAGGTTAGCAGAAAGGAAATTCCAGAAGCATGTTCCTCCCTCTTCTGACTGCTTCTTTTCTCCTGTTCCCTTCAAAACACCAGTAAAAGATTTCATCAATCCTTGAGGGTCTAGAGATACCTACTTGGCAGTTAACATTCTTGTGATTCAGCGCATTTTCTTGCAACAATATTCTGTCTTTACTCCTGAGTTTTGTCTAATTTAGATTCCTCCTTAGTCTGTTCTGCTCAGCTAATCCTGATCGATAAATACAGACAGATTAGACAGGAGACAAAATTGTGAAATAGATGTTGCATTTGGAACACTGAGCCTTCACTCTCTATTGCAGCCAGGACCTTCTCTTCTATGGCCCCCGTAGCCCAAACCACACTCTGGCATGCTGGTCTGTGACTCCTTTGCCTCTGTGACTAGGCTGTAAGCATCTCTAACTTTTCTCGTCTTTTGAGTTTCATCGTCTGGCTCTTCGTAGGCACTCAGTAAATACTTGAATCAATGAATGTACAGATTACTCAGTTAACTGGTACATCAGTATTTTCTTTCTTTCATGTTATTAAAACTGGCTCTTGGGGAAAGATTTGAAACATTTTAAAATTAAAGGGTAATTGTGGCGCCTGGGTGGCTCAGTTGGTTAAGCGTCTGACTTTGGCTCAGGTCATGATCTCATGGTTCGTGGGTTTGAGCCACATATCAGGCTCTGTGCTGAGGGCTCAGAGCCTAGAACCTGCTTCGGATTCTGTGTCTCCCTCTCTCTCTGCCCCTCCCCCAATCGTGCTCTGTCTCTCTCTCTCTCTCTCTCAAAAAATAAATAAACATTAAAAAAAATTGTTTTCATTAGAGGGGAATTGACCAGTTCACAAGGAAACCCAGATGGGTTTATATTTTAACACAGATTAAATTAAAGGAATTAAGCTTTTTCTATGGGCTGCCTGGGTGGCTCTGTTGGTTAAGCGTCAGAGTCTTGGTTTCAGCTCAGGCCGTGATCTCCTGGTTCGTGAGTTCAAGCCCTGCATCGAACCCCACACTGACAGTGCAGAATTTGCTTGGGATTCTCACTCTCTCCCTCTCACTCTGCCC